GGGTCTGGCATGGTGATGCCGAAGCATTCCTCCAAAAACCTGGCGCCCGCCGTGGTCTCCTCAAAACGCAGCAAGCACAGGAAGCAGGGCATGGAGCAGAAGATCTCCAAGTTCTCTCCCATTGAAGAAGCCAAAGACGTGGAGTCAGACCTGGCCTCCTACACAGTGACCACATCAGTCAGCAGCAGTAACGTGGCCTCCCGGGCGAAGAAGCTGCAGGATGAGATCACCTACGGCCTCAAGAAGAATGTGTACGAGCAGCAGAAGTACTACGGCATCTCCAGCAGGGACTTGGTGGACGAGGACGACCGCGTCTACTCATCCGGAAGCAGGACCCGTTCATCTGGCTACGGGGTAGAGAAGTCGTCCGGCCGCGACGTGAGCAGCCGCAGCAAATCTTATGACAGGGAGAGTGTGGAGCGCTCCCAGAAGGGCAGCTCCAAGCCCTCGTCCCTTGGCATGAGCCAGAGCCGCGGGAGGACTCCCGTTCGCACGCAGGCCTCGGAAGAGGAGAGCCCCATCAGCCCCCTGGGAAAGTCCATGGGGGTGTCGCGCTCCTCTGGCGGCCCCGGCCCGCAGGCTGGCGGGGACCCCTGCTCCCAGTTCTGCTCCAGCCACTCGTTGCCTGATGTGCAAGAACACATCAAAGATGTGCCAAGGAATCACGCTTACAAGCACGAGGAAGGTTACGCCATGGACGATTCGCATTGCGTTGTTTCAGACAGCGAAGGTAACAGCTACCTGTGGTGATGCACCCCAGAGCATGGCGATTCCCCGGGGCATGCTCGTCCAGTCGTAAAGCAAAGACACTCTCGCAGCCTCCGTTTGCTTGACATGTGCCTTCCTCCCTTTTCCAGTCTCTGTCCTGGGTGTTTTGTGTTAGCAGGTCCCGTGCAGTGCTTGCTCGATGCCCTGCCGTCTCCGTGTCCCATCCCGTGTCTTGGTGGCGCGGGGTCTGCTCGTGCTGCGGCGCGGTGCCCTCTGTGTGTGTCGTAAGCTGCTTGCCTTCTTTTATCTCATTGCATGGCTTCAGCCCGGGCTGCGTCCACGCCTGTGGAGCGAGAGATTGACTGTGATTTGTTTTTGGTTTCTGAAGCCTATCATTTGGGTCAGGAGGAGACAGACTGGTTTGATAAGCCGAGGGAAGCGCGGTCAGAAAGGGTAAGGCACTACGGTGGCCACTCTTCCTCGCAGAAGAGACCCCCGGTTAAGCACACCTACCACGACTACGATGAGCCCCCGGACGATGAGCTGTGGCAGCACGATGAGTACGCGCCGGCACCGCACGCCCCGGCCCACGCG